CACAGGATCGCGCTGTCTCCTGGCGCGGCCGCTCAGACCCGACGCCATCTTAGAATCCTCCACAAAGTTTTTTTTAAAAAGGACATTAATCCATGTACCACCTAAAATCATCTTGTAAACCACAAGTAGTACATGCATTTCATCCTGGGAGATTCCTGGCAACGTTTTGGCATCAGAGAGACCTGGGTTCAATCCAAACTCAATCTTTTTCTGTGTCTGTGATCTTGGGCAAGTTATTTAACCTCTTAACATCAGTTTCCTCATCTGTAAAAAGTAGTAACATGCTTACCTCTGACTGTTCTTAAAATAAAATAAAGCTTTTTTTTTTTTTTCCTTTTTGTCCTTTTTCGTGTCTGGCAATGGATCGCAACCCTCAGTGTTGCACCCGTACCGGACCGGGACCGGCAACAGGATCGCAACCCTCGGTGTTGCTCCCACACCTCGCTCAGCCAGTGAGCGGGAACCGGTCTGTATGTGGGATCCGAACCCTCGGCGGGAGCGCCGCCGCACTCCCAAGCGGCACACTGTAGCAGTGCGCCACTGGGCCGGCCCATAAAATAAAGCTTTTAAATAATTAAATTAAATTTAAAGAATCGTAGGGCTGGCTGGTTAGCTAAGTTGGTTAGAGTGTGGTACCAATAACACCAAGGTCCAGGGTTCGAGCCCTGTATCAGCCAGTTGCCAAAAAAAGAAAAAAAAGTCAGGAAAGAGAATTAAACATTGTGTTCAACTTATGAGCACTCGGTGAATGAGAACTATTATGATACTAATATTTATCAGGGAGGTCACGTCTCCCAGAGCTGTGTTCCTTTTACTACATCCAGCCAGGCCAAGCTGCCTGGAGTCTCACATGCACACAGTCACTCGGGGAAGCTACAAATGCATTTGCGGGGTCTCTGCCCCCAGCTAAGCTTTCTGTGCATGCAGACAGCACTCAGCATTATGGTGCTGTGTCATGAGCTGGTTGAGTTATTCTGCACTAGCGGGGATGTTTGCCCTAAATGAGGCACTTGGTGTGGGAAAGACTCTCTTCAAGAGACCCTGCTCTGTGTGCACGAGGTTTCATCTTTCTCCAAATCGGGCGGAATGGAGGGGACAGAGGCAGGATGGGGGTGGCAGGAATCTGCTGGGCTTTCTCTGAAATATATTTTTTCAGTTAGAAAACCCACAGAGCAGAGGGTGCCCTGCCTTATTCCGCTTGCAGGAGATGAGGGGCATTGGCCGCTGTAGCAAGGAGGACAGGGTGAGGCTCTGTGAGAAGAGACCGGGGTCTGGGCCACACCACCTACCTCCTGCATCATGCGTGTGAGCTCCTCACAGGGGCTGCTCTGGCGCAGGGCTTGCACGTGGCCAAGGAGGCTCTGGGCCTTCTGGATTTCTGCCAGCAGCTCGTCCACATCCCGGCTGGTGTAGAGCTGGGGCAGTGGGAGCAAGCAGACAGCAGAAGTCACTTGGCTACCAGCAGTGGCCCAGGTGGGAAAGGCCAAGCGGCCAAGCCAACCCCAAAGCTGAATGTGACCATTTAACCAGATGCTATAAACTAGGGTGCATGTGCCAGACAGAGCCTGCAAGCCGGTTTTGTTCCATTTGTACAGTATTCGCCTGCAGTGTTTTTAAATAATTGAAGGATTGTCTAACTTTTAAAATGTAAAGAAACACTTTACACCCACTAGGATGGCTATAGTCATAATAATAATAGTAGCTTTTAAAAATGAAAAATAAATGTGGGTGAGGATGTGTAGAATTGGAACCTTGTATGAGACTGGTGAGGTATAAAATGGAGCAGCCACTGTCAAAACAGTTTGGTGGTTCCTCAAAAAATTAAACAAAGAATTACCATCTGACCCAGCAATTCCACTTTAGGTATATATTGAAAACAGGGACTTAGATATTTGTACATCCATGTTTATAGCAGCAATGTTCACAATAGCCAAAGGTGGAAACAACCCAAATGTCCATCAACAGGTGAATGGATAAACAGAAGTGGCATGTCCAGACGATAGGTTATTATTCAACCACAGAAAGCATGAAGCTCTAATACATGCAACGGCATAGGTGAACCATGAAAGCACTATGCCAGCTGAAGGGAGACAGACACAAGAGGTGTGTGATTCCCATTACAGAAAATATTCAGAATAGGTGAATCCACAGAGGCAGAAAGCAGATCGGTGATTGCCAGGGAGGGGGGATGGGGAGTTACTGCTTCATGGGTGCAGGGCTTCCTTTGGGGTGATGAAAATGTTTTGGAGTTAGGTAAAGATAGTAGTTGTGCAACATTGTGAATGCACTAAAATGTCACTGAATAATTCACTTTAAAGTGGCTAATTTTTTTTTTTTTTTTAGTGGCTGGCTGGTATGGGGATTCAAACCCTTGACCTTGGTGTGATAACACCGCACTCTAATCTACTGAACTAACCAGCCAGCCCCTTAAGGTGGTTAATTTTACTTTATGTGAAAGCCACCTTAATTTTTTTTAAAAAGGTGAAGAAATCACACACACACACACACAATCCAGATCTCTGGTTCTTCTTGAGAAATCAGGAGACTGGGTGACACTGGGATGTCCTTCCCACAGGGCAGTGATCGGTTGAGCTGAGCGGACCCCACCTCTTCAGACGGGGCATGTGGCATCTAGTTGGCCACAGTCCCTGGTTAGGAGTCAGTTGTCATTCTTGTCATCCTTGCACTGTATGTTTTGCTTGTATTAAAGAAGAAGATGAAGTTTTCTGTACCCATCTCTTCATCAGGAGTGAGAAAACACCAGGTAAGCCAAGAGGGCCACTGCTTATGAGAAAATATTTCTTAGACCAACTAGTTTTGTTCATTCGCTTTAACCTCGCCTCTGTATTCCTCGACACCCACAGAGTCTGGGCAATGAGGTATCGCGGTGGGTGTTGCCTGACCGTGGTTCCCTGGTACGAATGCTCGACTTTGTGACACTTGAACACACTTGTGAGGTGTGAGCTCTCACTTATACATGGTTATGAGTGACAGGCAGGGCACAGCCTGTTAGCTGAACAGATGTTGGATTATTTTTTCCCCCCCCCGGTTACTGGCCAGTCTCATAATCCCAACCCTTGACCTTGGTGCTGTAACACACACTCTAACCAGCTGAGCTCACTGCCTGCCAGAGGTTGGAGTCTTGATCCGCTGATGGACCTCCACGCTTGTGAGCTCATCGTTACCTCCACAGTGAACATGGGTGATGCTGAGTCACTAGCTGGGGCAAGGACACCAGTGGGTGATTGGAACAGAACTGATCCCTCCTTCTGCCCTGCTGTGGGTCCCCTGCAGTGGCGGGGTCTGTCTCAGAGAGAGAACTGAGGCGATTGTTTCACACTCAGTGCTTTGGTGGCAGCAGAGGCGGGCTGGGGCCCTGTTAATGACAACTGGACGTGATTGAGGATTCTGCCGACAGGCTTTGAAAGGCCTCCAGGCTCACAGCATGCAGTCAGCTCATTGCACACATGGACCAGAGGATACCTCCTGATGTTGGGCTGTCCCTGTGCTTCCTGCAGGTTCGTTTTAACCTGATTTTGTCTGTGTGAACTCGTTGAGAATGGAGGACAAGGAGCAGAGGAAGGAAGTACACAGCGTGGTCTGTCCTGGCCCAGAGCCCCCAGGCACGGTCTCAGCAGCAGTCATGGAGGGAGAAGGGGGCAGTGCGTGACAGAAGGGCTTACCTCCGTCTCTGGGCTGTAGCAGTGGTAGTCGCCCCTAAGAGCTTCCGCAAGATTCTTCACGACAGCCTGCGGGGATGGGGACAGGGTCAGCCTTCACTGGGGCAACGCCAGGACTCTAACAAGCTTCTCTTTGACTGAACCTCCCAACTATCCAATGCTCCTCATTTTACCAAAGGGAGAAGGAGGTACAGGAGAGGTGAGTTCTGGTCTACAGCTTGGAAGCCTCCAAGGCCTGCCAGCTCACTATCACCAAATCCAAGGGAAACCCTGGAGAACCTCAGTACTTACAGGGGGCACCTGGTGGTCACATTTGTAGGTGATGACATGGGTGATGAGGCTCCTTCCCACGGTGGACTGTTGGATGTAGTCAGACAGGATTTCGGAAGGCTGATCTGGGCTGGGGAGAAAACAGAAGGGACATGGGCAACCCAGCTCACACCTTTGAGAACACTGCAGAGCAAAATGGTAATTCCAGGGAACATCTACTGGATCTCTACTGACCACCTGTGTCCCAGGTCACCTGTATGAGGTTCAGGGCTGGGCAGACAGCAGGCCTGGCCAGCCCCATCTGTGGGTGGTCGGCCTGCAAACATGATCCTCCTCTCAAGCAGGTGTGGACAGTCGTGCTGGTAATCTTTTCTCAGACAACGGCACGGTTCTTCACCCCCCGTCATGTAGTCTGTTACCTGCTTACGAAAGGAGACCTACCAGCTTCCCATTATGGTCACCAGAGAGTTCAGCCCCTTCAGAGCAAAGATTTTCTTCAGGGCTTGTAGCAAATTGCTGCCTCCATCGGGCTGCAGATTCTTCACCCAGAGCTTGAGGTCCTGGAGGCTGCGGGGAGGGACAGCAGCAGCCTGATGAGAGTGCTCGTGCGTATGGGCTCGCTGAAGCCCAGCGATAACTCTCTGACGTGGGTGCCTTTATTCCCATTTTATAGATGAGGAAACGGAGGCTCAGAGTTATCAAGTTAGGACTTGCCCAGGGTGATACTGTAAGCAACTCATACAACTGAGATTTCAAACCAGGTCTGACTCTAGACTCTGAGCTTTGGGCGTCTCTGCTATGTGAAGGTCTGGGGCTGAGTCCCTTCCTCCTCCCTGCCCCCCACCTAACTCTCCTGGGAGCCAGACCTCAGTTAATCCCCTGGCCGTAAGAGAACTGAGAAGCACCACAGTTGTGAGAATCTGTCCCTTGGGGGTTGGGACACACACCCTGCCCGGTAAGAGGGAGAGTGTCTGAACTTGGTACTTTCTTGGTTAAATACCACACATGGCGGGCTGGCCCGTGGCTCACTTGGGAGAGTGTGGTGCTGATAACACCAAGGCCACGGGTTAAGATCACCATACAGGGAAGGCCGGTTAGCTCACTTTGTACAGCATGGTGCTGACAACACCAAGTCAAGGGTTAAGATCCCCTTACCGGTCGTCTTTAAAAAAAAACCAAAAAACAAAATCACACATGGCACTAGCGAAAAAGTTCTGCTCTTTCCACTCCTCTTTCAGTCTGGCAGAAAGAAAATGTCAGCTTGGTGCTAAGAAGTGTGTCTTTTTGTGATTATAATTGTCGAGGCTCCCTTTTGAACACAGAACAGACCCCAAACCTTCTCTGGCCAATAGGTTTCAAGCTGGAATTTAATATCATTGTTTTGCTTTCATTGTATTTACTTATTTTTCCTTGTGCATGCATATATTGCATAATAACCCAATCAGAAGAGTTAGCATGTCTATTACCTACACATTTATCCTTTCTTTGTGTTTATTAACATTCAAGATCCTCTTTTCTAGCTATCTTGAAATATATGATACATCGTGTTTATTTTTATGGCTACTTTCTAATTATGGCAGTGGTACAGGCTTCTCGGTTATGGTATTAATAGGTAGTTTCCTTCAATAATAGAGTTGGTGTAAGGAAAAATCGACACTAGTACAAGCGGCACAGAGGAAACGGTACACGTGGCAGGAGCATGACATAGGAATGTGATAAAGAAGGTCTGGGAATGATGGAAGCTAGAGAACTTTTGGCTGATCTCAAGGTGACTTCCAGGTCTAACACCCCAGAGATCGGTGGCCTACCTAGTGTGGAAATCAGAGTCAAAACTGCTCTCATTCCCCGAATGCCTGCCCTGTGTCAGGTAGGTATCAGTGGCCTTGTTCTGCAAATGAGAGCATTAAAGCACTGTTGAGATCACCCAGAGACTGTCCCGGCTCAGATTCAGAGCCAGAGTGGCTAGAACTGTGCATTTCTCCACTGGAAGCCTCCTCTTCAGGACTAGTGCTGGGCAAGGCGGCCCCGCACCCAGGAATCGAAGCCTGCGGATTTTCCTGGGATCTGTCCTGAGCTTTGGAATCCAGACTTGCTGTGCCACTTGGGGATGTTCTGTAACCCGAGTCTGAGTTTCCTCATCTGCAGAATGGGGATGATAATCCTATTCCATGTGGCAGCTACAAATATTAAATACAATCGTACATGTGCAGTGACTAGTGTGGAACCTGGCACATGGTGGGTGATCAAGGATGTTCCCTCCATGGGAAAAACCTTTCTACTGATTGGCATAAGTGAGTAGAAATTCTTATATTCCCCTCCCCACACCCTCCCCCCAAATGCCAAACTAGAAATCCCCAAATAAAGAACATCTATGCAATGGAACACTATGTAGCCATTAAAACAAGAGGGTAGATCTATATACACTGATAGAGAATGATATTCAAGATGAGAGAATTTTTCTTTCTTTTGGTGGCTGGCCGTTGAGGGGATCTGAGCCTGTAGACCTCAGTGTTACAAGGTGGTGCTCTAACCCACTGAGCTAACCAGCCAGCCCTCCTCCAGCTGAGGTGAAAAGCCAAGGCATGGAACAGCATCATGTGCTCCTGTATATGTTTAAGTAAGAGGGTGAACACGGATGCACATGTGTGCAGGGGCTGTCTGTGGAAGCAAATGTCAGAAACGATTATTGGGATGGGAGGAGGCAGACAATCACTCATCCTTCTGTGCTGTTGGAGTTTTAAAAAATGTGCCTGTGTTCCTTCCATAATAATAAAACTACCTTTGCTCGTTTGCTGGATACAAATGTTGTCTCGTGGTTATCTTGTCTTTCATTTCGTGGACTGCTCATGAGGGTGACCATCTGCCAAAAATGACTGGCTGCCTACATTTCTGTTTTTGTGAATTGTCCTTTCTCACTCGCTTACCTGCTGGGGTCTTGAATAATGACCCCAACAGATTCATGATTCAGTTAAGACCTGGGTACTTAGGAAGGAAAATGACCAAATCAACATGGTGCTGAGGCCGAGGCCCGGTGGCCACTTACGTGGAGGTGCTGACTTCCACGGGCTCTGGCCAGAGGGGCTTGGTGGTGATGCCGAAGGACAGGACGTACAGCTTCTCCTTGTGGCTCAGCTGCTCATCAATGAGGCTCTGCTGGACAAAAGGACGTCACTGGCTCCCAGAGCCAGGGGCCACTGGGAGCCTGGCTTCACCTCTCCTGCCTTAGGCGGCCCCTCTCTGGGCCAGGGTGCCAAAATAGGGCTGCTTGAGGCTCGGCTTAGGGGCTGGCCCCAAACTGACATTTGCTTCTGGCCCGTGGGTCTCATGGGTGGGGTGAGCATCTCGGCTGCCCATCTCAGCATGTGCTATGGCTGGACCCTTGGCACTTAAATGTGGCAACCAGGGAGGGAGGACAGACTGTGGGGGCAGTGGCTTCTCTCCATTTGGGGACTAGAGCAGTGGGCATAATGTCAGCCTGTTCATTGCTCCCAGGCTGTAGCTGGTAAGTACCCAACAGGGACCATAACTCCTCTCTCTTCTTCCTGGCCAGCAGGAAATTTCACGTGGATGCCACCAACACGAATCTTGTCCTGGCTAATATTGGACCACCCCATTTGGGGGATCTTTGGAATCTCAGCCCTGAGGACTTGTCATGAAGGGGAGCCTGCACTGTCACCTGCCTCCTGATATCCATTGAGACCGGGAACAGAGGACAAATCTCAAGGACTAGCCCATTTGAGCCTTGTTAATGTTCTGCCAGGCCCTTATGAAATACAATGGGCTATTGCTGCTGTAGTCCCCATCCAAAACTGTAAGGGTTCCCATGAGGAAATAGCCCCTGCACGTCACTTCACAGAGCCTGCAGAGGTTCTTCTCTAAGCCAGACTCAACACTGAGCACCTCACCTGCACAAACTCCTTTCATCCTATGGCAACCCGGGAGGTAGCCACTGTTATTATCCCCATTTCACAGAGGAAGTCACCAAGGCACAGAGATCAGGTAACATGGGCCTATAGCCCAGAACGGGTGGAGGTGGCTGGAATCTGACTCTGGTCATCGGGCTCTAGCGTTCTTAGTTTCTGTTATGGATGCACCGAAGAAACCAGAATAGCTCCTCCGTCCAGAAACAGCCAGAAGCCCTGCACTCTGCTATGCTGGAGTCGGCCTCCGATGATTCCTGTCTTCATACCCTCTTTCCAGGGAACTGTGGGCTCTTGTGGGCTCTCGAAGCAAAGTCTAGCTGACAGGTACTGCTGGGTGAGAACACTAGAAGTTCACACTGCTGCTGGAAATGACTCTGTGGTTGGTTCGCAGAACTCAAAATATTTCTTTAACCGTGAGCGCTAGGGAAGTGTGAGCTGTTCTTTAAGAAATACCCTATTTTGCATTTGCTATAAACAAAACCAGTTAGCAAGCTTGGGAAAGGGAGGGTGGCGTGGCGAGTGGTTCCAGGTACTTCTCTGTGCCTGAGACTTACCATGAGGTCATTTTGAAACTCCTCTCTCTGGGGGCCACTGCCAACCGCTGACACGTCAATGAGGACACCGACTCCGGTCCCCTTGATGCGGCCAAATGCCTGAAACCAAAGAAGGTACTGGGAGGCCACCGGTGTGGCTGGAGTTCTCAGCCTCACGCTGAGCAGCCCTGCGTGAGCAGATGGAAGCCCCACTTTACGGGGAAATAGCAAAGCCTGGTGTCCTGACGTTAGCACTGGGCATGGTCTGCTCCTGTTTGTGGCAGCCTGTTCTTTGAAAGTTTTTCTTTAATATTTACCATCCACCGTTACAAAGTAATACGTGTTCATTACAGAACATCTAGAGACTATAGAAAAGCACCCCTTGTTTGTAAGATACAAAGTTTGATGTCTAATTACATCAGCTTTTCTTATTTAATTTCTCTACATCCTTATTTATTTTTTGCCTGTTTTAGCAATCACAGGCAGATGTGTGAAGCTTGCCAGCTGCAGTGGTATTTCTGTGAGTTTCTAATTATGTTTCTATCAGCTATAACTCAATATATGTCAAGGCTATTTGATTCTACACATACAAGTGCTTGTCCTGTTGCAGCTGCATTGTGAATTGGAACTTTCATTCATATGAAATTGATAGCTCTCTAGGGGCAGTAATCCCCACTGGATGATTTTTGCATTTAATCCTACTTTATTGGCCATCTAATTTTCCTATCCAATTCACTCTTCCACTCTCAGAGATGAGTATTTTACATCTTCTCTCACACCTCCAACATTCCCTTTCTGCACTCTCTTGGTAAGTATTTGGCCTCCAATTTCATTGAGAAAACAAAAACAAAGAAAATTTGTTTTAGCCTTTCCATGCAGAGTCCACCGAGGCACCTGCCCCTGTGGCCACACATCTTGCCTTTTCCTGGTTACAGCATGTCGAAGGCCAACCCTTTGACCCACTGGATCTTTTTTTCCAAATAGAGACCTGGTCCTGCAGCCGTCCCTCCTCTTGGATCATCAGTTCCTCCCTCTCCATTGAGCAGTGCACCTCACCATACAAACAGGCTGTCACATTCCCCATCTTGAAAAAGAATTAAACCTCTTGGGACCCATCCCTCCCTCCTGCTACTGCTTTGTTTCTCTGCTTCCCATTTTATTTTATTTTTTAGCAGCTGGTGGTACGGGGATCTGAACCCTGGACACTGGTGCTGTCAGGACCATGCTTTAACCAACTGAGGTAACCATCGCCCACTAGTAATGCTTCCTTACCTCCCATTTCTCTCTCATCCAGTCAGATTAGGCTGTCACCTCCCTGCTCCTCAAGCCACACTTGTCCAGGTGATCAGTGACCTCCCTCTTGCCAAACCCAAGGGTCAAGTCCAAGCTTTCAACTTTCTCGAACTCTGAGTAGCATATGACACAGTCTGTCTCAAGAATTTGCCAAGTGGAAGGCTGGTCAGTTAGATCAGTTGGTTAGAGGGAGTGTTATAACACCAAGGTCAACGGTGTTATCACGGTTCAGATCGCCCTCCCCAAAATGACAAGCTGAAATACTTAGTACACATGTCCTCCAGGACACCACATTCTCCCACTTTTCCTTCCACTCACTGCCTGGTCCTTGTGAGTGTGCTTTGCAAGATGGACCCTCCTCCTTGTTCCGCAGAGGAATGCCCTGGGAACTTGCTCCTGGAGGTGTGGGCCGTGGACCACAGCATGAGCATCACCTAGGAGCTTGTTAGAAATGCACAATCTCGGGCCGACCTGTGGCTCAGTCGGGAGAGTGCGGTGCTGGTAACACCAAGGCCATGCGTTCGGATCCTATATAGGGATGGCCAGTTTGCTCACTGGCTGAGCGTGGTGCTGACAACCTATACAGGGATGGCCGGTTTGCTCACTGGCTGAGCGTGGTGCTGACAACCTATACAGGGATGGCCGGTTTGCTCACTGGCTGAGCGTGGTGCTGACAACACCAAGCCAAGGGTTGAGATCCCCTTACCGGTCATCTTTATAAAAAAAAACGAAAAAGAAATGCACAATCTCAGGTCCTACCCCAGAATTACCTAATTAAGACTCCACATTTCAGCAAGCACCCCCAGGTGATCTGGCTGCATGTTTGTTAGTTCGAGAAGCACTGGGCCAGGCTCGGTCTTCCATTCTCTTCTTTATCTGCACCAGGGCTTCCCAGCCTCAGCGCTACTGACATGTTGGGCTGGATGACTCACTGTCGTGCGGAGTTGACCTTCACTGCAGGAGGCTGAGCAGCACCCCTGGCTGCTGCTAAGCTAGATGCCAGTACCATACCCCTCCTTCAGCCACGACAACCAAAATGTCTCCAGTCATTGCCACATGTCCCCTGGGGTGCAAAATTGCCCCCGTTGAGACCCACTGTCCTTCACTCTCTCCCTAGGTGGTCTCATGAGTCTCATGTCTTTAAATACCATCTGAATGCTGACAATCATGCAAGGTCCACCTCCAGGCAGATCTCTCTTGGAATGCCAGCCTGCTCCGCATCTCTGTCTGGATGTCTGGGTATAAGTCCTCAGACTTCATATGTCCCAAACTCTTGGTTTCCTCAGACCTGTTGCTGCCTCAGCCTTTCCCATCTCAGTGAATGGCGTTCAACATCAGGTCAGGTGCTTTGCTCCAAACCTATCCAACCCGTCAGCACGTCCTGCAGGCTCTACCTTCAAACTCTGCCCTGAACCCACCATCTCTCACCCCATCCACACTAGTGCTTGAGTCTGCGCCACCATCGCACTCAACAGCTGGGTCTGCCGGCACCACCTTTGCACTCTGCAGTTTTTTCTTTTTTCAGTGGCTGGCCAGGAGAGGGATCGAACCCCGGACCTTGTGTTAGCAGCACCACACTCTAACCCACTGAGCTGACCGGCCAGCCCTCTACAGTTTATGCAGTAGCCAGAGTGATCCTTTTGAAACTGGTCACATCATGTCACTACCCTGCTTCCAACCCTCGCCTTTGGACTAAGGCCCTCTTTGATCTAATTTCATCTCCTCCACATTGCGCACTCTGTGCTTGCTACACTGGCCTGTGGCTGGCTGTTTCTGGAACATGCCATGCTCGTTCCTGTCTCAGGGCCTTTGAGTCTGCTGTTTCCTCTGCCTGGAACATTCTCCCCACAGGCAGGGCTCACTCCCTCACATCCTTTGGGTGTCTGTTCAAATGTCTCCTCCTCAGAGTGGGTTTCCTTGACCGCTCTATTTCCATAGCCCTCCGTCTAGTCCATTCTCTATTCCCTTACACTGCTTTATTTTTCTTTACAGCACGATCACTAACTGACCTTGCATACAATCTGTTAATCTATTCATTGTCTGTCCTCCCTGCCTGGACTGTAAGCGCCACAAAGGCAGGATCTTCATATTGTTGACATTTGTACCCTCAGTCCTAGAACAGTGCCTGACATGCAGAAATCTCCCAATAAATATTTGTTGAATTCATGACCCGAATGAAGTGTGAGTCTTCCCAGAATGTTGCCAGTGCTCAGAGGCCAGAAGAACTGAAAAGAACTAATCCTTTTAAATAAAAAATAATTTTAAAAAAGCTGCCATTAGAGCTTTTCAGCTTTTGCAATTGAAAACATGCATTCCCTTAAACCTAGCCATTGAAATTCCAGAAATTTATCCCATAGAAATAACTGGACAAAGATGGAACTGGAGCCCAGTGACAGCCGATGGACTCATGTTTTAAGAGAAGTCTGAAAGCAGACATAAAAGTGAAGTATCGGGATTTTCCATATGGCTGTGGGCCAGATTTGGCCTGTGTGCCAATAGTTTATAACCCCTGCTTCTGTCCTCTGCAGATCTAGAGAAAGACACCTGAGAAGTGATGTCATTTGCTTATGGCCTTCCCAAAGAGCAGAGTGGGAACTGGGACCAGGGATGGTCTGTCCACCACTTCAGCTGCCTGAACACACAGAGGCCTCCCGAGCTGATCTACAGGTGATCCCTTCCCTGGGCTCCAGTCTGGGCTGTTCTGTGGCTCCTGTGTAGCTCCATCAGAAGGGGTGGGGGAAGAAGGGTCTATCGATCCCTGATCACTTTGCCACAAGTGCCAGCATGATGAGGGCGGGTGGGTGACAGCAACATTCCCTGAATGGATGTTTTGGGAGTGTGTGAGGATTGCATCCCTCGGGGTCCTTTTGGCCTGTGTTACCTCAGGCAGTCAGAGGGGGTGGCCATAGCTGGAGACGTGCTTCTGCTGACCAATCTGAGCAGGTGAGGAAGGTTCTGGATCTGAGATGTAGACTGCACCCTGGAGTTGGCTGGGGCAGGCAGCCTTAGCACTCTGCTGTCACTTACTGGTCTTGTGTGAGGTGGGGATTGGGAATAGGGAGAACTTCAGCATCTGCCCATCCCAGGGTTTAAAACAAGAGCAGAGGATTGTGCCTAAGGGTGGAACCACGCCGGGAACTAGAAAAGTGTCTGCTGCCGGGCCGGCCCGGTGGCACACTGCTACAGTGCACCGCTTGGGAAGCGTGGTGGCGCTCCCGCCGAGGGTTCGGATCCCACGTACAGACCGGTTCCTGCTCACTGGCTGAGCGAGGTGTGGGAGCAACACCGAGGGTTGCGATCCCGTTGCCAGTCCCGGTCCGGTACGGGCGCGACACTGAGGGTTGCGATCCGTTGCCGGACACGAAAAAAGACAAAAAGGAAAAAAAAAAGTGTCTGCTGGAGGGAAATAAGTTAAAACAAATAAGACAGAATGAAAGACTCATTTGCCCGTGATCACTTTTCCACCCTTGGGGTCTGAGGAAGAGGGTCTGGGGGTATCTGCAGGTCCCACCTGCCTAGGATCCATTCTCTCTTCTGGTAATAACACTCTAGACTTCCACGTGTAAACTTTTGTCTCCCTTTCTCAGTCCGTGAGGTTTGGGGGGCTTACTCAGTCCCCCCTCACCTCTCCTACCCTACCCCTGTTTTTTTCCCAGGAGTGAGCACTAGTTCCAGGCCTAGCCAGTTAACATATCTCATCCTCTTGGCTGTGGTGACTGGTAAGAATTAGTCAACAAGAGTCAGTCCTAGGACTTGGGCAGGGGTACTGGGAAAAGGAGGTCCCTTTTGACTGAAGGTGTCTAGCTGGTGACACATAAGCTTGGAGCTGCTGGTAACCATCTTTCCACACCTGGGAGAGCAGCATTCCCCAAGAATAGAATCAACCAAGAGGAAAGAGGTGGCATCACCTGAGCACCTGGATACAGCTGTGTCTGGGTTTTTCATTTATGTAGGTCAAGAAATTCCTTTTCTAGCTTAAGCTGATTTAAGTTGGAGGTCTATCATTGGCAACTGAAAGGTTCTAACAAATACAAGGGGACTTCAAAAAGTTCATGGAAAGATTTGTGTTCTCTTTCAAGTCAATCTTTCCACGAACTTTTGAAGTGCCCTCATAACAGATGCAATGAGTGAAAAGGAGCCAGGAATGAAACGCATGTTGCCTTACCTTCCTGCTGTTTTCTGTGAGCCACTGAATTCTCTGTTGATAGAGTTCAACGGCTCTGTGAAAACACAGAAAAGATTCCTCACCCAAGGTCAGCTCGATCCCTGAGCAGCAGCCGTTTATGTACATGCCAGGTGTGAATGGGATTTTTTTTTTAAATGTGTCTAAGGCCTTGGGAGACTATAAGGCAAAATCTAGCAAAGAGAAAACTGAAGGTATTCGTTCTCAGGGCATCGGGTAAAATACCACGGGGATGGTGAAAGGATTGAGGGTGTGGATGCTGCTTGGCTGGGGGTGCATGCTGCAAGGGCTTATGGTTTGGCAGAGCAAGGGGCAGGCTGCCTGCAGAGGATGGGAATGTGTCTCATGAGAAGATGGAAGAACATTCTTGCCCTTGCTCAAATCTGTGTCTTCTCAGGTGAGACTGTTCCTAGTCTCCTAGAGACTGATCATAAAGACACAACAAGGCAATTTAGCAGCAGTTTCTCAGTGGACTCATTAATAGAAAAACAGTTTCTGAAAAGTAGCCATCAGAACTTGTTGAACTTCCTTTACTGCAAACATTCCAGGGACTGGATAGAGACAAACATGTGACAAGTGCTCAGGAGGACTCAGTCACTTGAATGTAACTGAGTTGCCCTCGCTGAGGGGGAAGGATTGGGGGGCCTAGAGAGGAGCAAGGAAGGCCTACGGATATGAAACAATAGGGTGGTGGGTGGTGGGCAGAGCTACAAGTGACCCATGAGAGTGAAAACAGCTAAAACTATGAGCTTCGTAGTGAGACATGCTCTGCCGTTTCCTAGCTATGTGACCTTAGGCAGCTGTGTAGCCTCTCTGAGCCCCAGTTTTATCATTTCCAACATGAAGATAACAACAGGACTCTATCCAAGTCAATTTGCCAAAAGTCAATTTACTGAAAGCCAATTCTCTAAAAATCAGTTTGCCAAATGACCAATTAGCTGTTTAGACTTGAAGATTCCTTAAAATGCTGGACTCACGATTAAAACCAATCAATCAAAACATTGCAGAATTCTTTAAAATCTGTTTAACCTTCCAATCCAATACACATACAGTTGATATGCATGTTGAGAAGCCAGGAGGAAGAAAAAAAGTTTTGATAAATTTGGTAAATGGGTCATTCTGTGAATGGTCATTTAGCAATTGACTTTTGGTTAACTGGTTTGAGAGTGTTACAATGTTTTGGGTTGGAAGGATTAAATAAGATGAATGTGGCCCTTAGCAGAATTTCTGATATATTAATAGATGTTAGCTATTAATTTATTAGTATAACCTTTCAAGAAACCTCAGGCAAACTGTGATCATGGATCACAGATTGCTGCGGCTGGGACAGAATCTTGAGGACCACCCTGTCTACTGATTATCAAGAGACAGGTTTGCGTGTTTGTGTGTATGTTTGCATATATACATGTGTTATCAAAATCTGGTTTAGAAGTGAGGATGCACGCATCTTTTTAACATACATTTGCAAGGGTATGAACCCAGCCAAACTGACATTGAAAGTAGTCACTCAAACACTGAACATGAGATGAAGCCGTGAGGTTTTAGGTGTTCCTCCAAAAGGACTATAGACTTTAAAAGGCTCAGAGACGCCAATCTGATCCAACTTTTTTACTTCTCAAAAAGAGGAAACTGGGGCTAGAAGTGGGGAGAGACCTGCCCAAGGTTCCACAGAGATTGCTGTTTGAACAAAGTTACTTTCAGGCTGCTGAAATGAGAGAATTCTTGGGTTCTGGGGTGTTGGGCGGACTTGGAGAAACATACTTACTCAGAGAGTTTTGATTCAAAATGGCAGATGATCTGGGTGGAGAAATGAATTTTCTGCATGACATTGGTGCCCGCCTCCCTGAAAAAGCAAAGCCTCATGAAGGGGTCTCTCAGGCCCAGGGGCTGGGTGTGTCACTGCAGCCAGAGAAGGTGACGGGAATCCTTCAGACTTACAGCACGGCTGTGCCCTGACGTATCAGGTCCGCCAAGGTGAGCTTCTCAAACTTCAAACTGTGTGTCGAAAGCCAATCTTCAGAGTCCTCCCATGCTGAAGACTGGGTCCCACTGCCCTGCAGCCTCTGCAAGACAGAAGCCAGAGTCAAGCAGAACACTGTGGCAGGGCCGGCCCGTGGCTCACTTGGTAGAGTGCGGTGCTGATAACACCAAGGCCGCGGGTT